AAATTTCTCAAATTAAAATCATCCCCAATTGAATTACTACAATTCATAAATCAAAATTAACTGGGCCATTCCTTAATATTACTGTGGTAATTACAAATTTTATTAACTTTGCCACTTACACCAGTCACTGGATCATTTTGAAAAAAAAAGGGCTACAAAACCTACAATCAACCATGTCACAAGAAATATTAACACATCTGGCAATGATATCAATTGGATGTGAAATCTGCAACAATATTGATTTAGAAAGTATTATAAAAACTATTGCAAGTTTGAAGTTCGAATAGTGCCTTATTTTATGTTGTACATAGATATTATTTACTATTTAATAAATACATAATACCACTTCAGTAAATACTATTTTAAACAATTAAACTTTTATATTAAAAGTTTGCAGATAAAGAATTCCTTTTGAAAGCGGCAAACCAGTGCGCGACAGCCCTGGCCACAGCCTGGCGACATCCGCGTTGCCCGGAAAAGCGATCAGTTTCATTAGCCGACTGTGCCATGTCACAACCGAAATTATCTAGTATGTTATTACGGCGAGCAAAAGAGCTTTAGGAGTGTGGGTCAGTCAGTGCACAAACTTCCTCACTTATGGCCTTTGGCCTTCCCTAGGAGCTAGTCGTCGTCCCCTGAGATCCTAAGGGGGCATCCATAAATTACGTAAAGCTAAATAGGGGGCAGGCTGCATTACATCGGGGTGGGGGTATTTGATTAGTGTTACGTAACATTGATTTTTTTTAAAAAAAATTAACATTTGTTGAATGAAATTCTTCTTATTTTGAGTCTTATACTAAAACATTAAAATGTTATTTAATTAAGTTGTTTTAAAACATAAAAAAATTAAAGTTATTAAAAGTTGTTACAATAAATGGAAATATTTTTTCATCAATTTTTTATTGAATCTGTAAGATTACGAAGAAAATATTCAAAACTGATTTGTAGTAGTTTGTAGAATATCATTAAATGGGTGTAGTAGATTCTCGCCCATGCACCACCCCACCCAAAGCGGCGGTGTGCACGGTTTGCGATCCTGTGAGTCCTTCCTTCACTCAAAAGTTGCCCCTGATCTTATTATTAGGTGCCATCGGCATCAACTTATTCCGACTTTAATTACAATAAATTTTAATCCACAACACAAATAAAATGAATCTTTTTTTTTATTGATCTATAATTTATTTTCACTTCTTG